CCTGGAGCCTGCTTCGGATTCTGTGCCTCCCTCTCTCTCTGTTCTTGCCCTGCTCACACTCTCTCAAAAAGTGAATAAACATTAAAAAATATTTAATTAAAATATTTGTTAAAAAATACATAAGTAAAACATGTGTTCTTTACTAAAGCACTGTCAATACTGCCCCCGTCTTCATCTGGAAGCAGGATCTTTTCCGTGTACTTCCAGAGTCATGAAGATAACCCTCTCTGCAGTATCTCAAATGTCATAAGCCTGAAGGGTCAAAGGAAGATATACTGAGCCTTAGTTTCTACCTTACGAAATGCAGCTAGTGATATGAAGGCTGACACACGTCCTTGGGAAGAAATAAAGATGAAAAAAGGGCATTATCATGTCACCACCAATGCCCGACACGATGGGGTCTACATTGCTTCTGTCACGTGGCCAGGGTCACGCCAGTGTGGGTGAATCTCCTTTTCACTCCCCACCATCCCAATGCCAGAGAGACATTTTCTTGCAACATCTGATGGGATTGAGCATAAAACTTGCCAGTCCGTGGTCAGAGATCTAATCGAATCACGAAACCAAAACCAAAAGTGATGCTCTGATCGGCCGTTCTTTGTTGAAAGGGTAAGTTTTGTATTCTTGAATGTGTTCTATGAGGCAAAGGATCCTATTTGCTTTTCTGATTCTCTATTCCCTTTCCAATGTCACCCAGAGCCCAGTCATGCAGAACTCTCCCCAGACAACCCATAAACTTGAAGGACTCCAAGTGTTTGCTCATAATGGTCCATCTGCCCAGGATGTGTTCTCCAATATCTTTCCCCACCTTCTATACTCCTCAGGTGGTATGTGTATTATGAAGCCTTCTTAGATTGCTCTCAGTCAGGCAAGCCGATCCCTCCCTGGGTCCCCCATGGTATCTGTACGCCCATCTGTTAGAGGACCTACCACAATGTCTGCTGTCCTCTCTTCTCTCAATCCCCACCGCAGCCCCCAACACTGTCAGCTCCTTCACGGCAGGGAGGAATTTTCTCAGTATCGAAGTTTCTAGCACGGTGTTTGGCAAATGATTGGCACTTAGCCAATAAATCCCGAATGAAGCGATTACTATGGACGTATTCTATACTTAGCATATCCAAAAATGAACTTAATAACTTAATGATCCGGTAGCTAATCAGGTGGTGCTCGTTGGCCCCAGAATGTTCTCATACATGGTATTTTGCCATCTTCAGGAAGATAAGGAAAGTGTTCACCAAAGTCATTGTGTATCTTCTTACAAGTAGGTTTTAATCCTTTGATTGATTTTTATGGACAGACTGATAATCCATTTATATTTCCTCATACTTTCTTTTTTATTAACAATTTTTCTTAGTGTTTTTATTTATTTTTGAGAGAAAGAGAGAGAGACAGAGTGTGAGCGGGAGAGGGGCAGAGAGAGAGGGAGACACAGAATCCAAAGCAGGCTCCAGGCTCTGAACTGTCAGCACAGAGCCTGACGCGGGGCTCGAACTCATGCACTGAGAGATTATGACCTGAGCCAAAGTCGGACGCTTAACTGACTGAGCCACCCAGGCGCCCTACCTCATACCTTCTTTTTATTGCATACTCCCAACAGGCTTTCCCTCACTACTCTACATTCCCTATTTTGTTTAGATTGAGCTCTTGGCATTAAATTATTGTTTGCTTTGGTATCCTATAATGGTCATAACCAACTGCTAGATCATTAATTCATACCTTGTTGCTGTCATAAAACACAATGATCTAAACACCAATGGGTCCTACTTGGACGCACAACACATCAATGATAAAAGCCACTGAATTGTGCACTTTGAGTGAACTGTATGTGGTGTGTGAATCATATCTCGGTAAAGATGTTTTTAAAAAAAACCCTCAGGTTGTCATTGACATACGGATTCTCATCCCTCGTACGCCATTTTGTGCTTTCTCATATACCTGCTAAGGAAAGCGAGGCGCAGAGAGCAGCGACCTGTCCAAGATGACAAAGTTGGTTACTGGGAGAATCAGGATGGTACCCCAGTCCCCACACTCCCAGTCTAGAATTCATATTGAAGAACCAGTATATGTCTGAAATGGAGCCTCATTATCCTGACGTTTCCAGAGATATGTCTTTGGGCAGGTCGGCGTCCTTGATGATAAACTTTGAAGCAATTCTGACTTGAGGACTGCTTTTATTAATGCTGTACCCATGCGGGCAGATCTACGGTTCCACTTAAGGAGATCTTACCGAGCTCTAAACTCAGTATAAAGATAATTCTTCTGACAATACAAGTGAGCCCTCTGACTATCTGAATTCCTGTTCTTATGCGGCAACCTTCGTTGGTTACATTGATTGGGCCCGCTCCTTCAGAGGGACTCAGAGGGCAAGGCACCAGCATGATGGAGAATTAGAATGACTTCACTCATGAGATTCACAAGATGCAAAGGAAACTGGGGATTTCTTGCTCCTTCTTGTCTTTTGTAAGAATTTACCAAAAAAGAAAAAAAAAAAGGGAGAAAAGCCATCGGAACCCATTTAGAGTCTGGATTCAGACTCACGGAATTTCAGTGACAGCTTAGCACGCTTTTGCTCTACCTTCCATATTGAGTCATGATCCCAGGGGGGAAGTAGGTGGTGTAACAGCCCCCGGAGTATTGCTCCTCACACCAGTTCTTCTCTTCATAGTGCACGGGCTGCAAGACAGAAGGACAAAAGCTCAGAGGAGACCCAGAGGAAGCCAGCTAGGCTGGAATAAATCAAACACAGTCTGGTAGGCTTCTTACTGAAGAACCAATATCTATCTGAAATAGAGCCTTCTTAGCCCGATATTGTTAGAGACATGTCTTCGGGAAGCTAAGTGTCCTTGCTAATAAACTCTGAAGAAATTCTGACCCGAGAAAAGTTCTCTCACTTGGTGGATGCATGTGTCAGGAACCGTTTTACCTTTTATTTTGTTTTGTTTTATGTATGTATTTATGTATATATTTTATTTTTACTTTTTTTAAATATGTATTTTTGATAGAGAGAGAGAGACAGAGCGAGAGGAGGAGGGGCAGAGAGAGAGGGAGACACAGAATCCGAAG